CAAAAAAAAAAGAGCACTTTCAGTTTGCTCGGATTTGATGCTTGCTTTTTTAAACTGTAGAATATCTACTGCCTGAATATGCTTAATGAAAGACAGGTTTACCTAAAAAGAAATTCTGACACATTTATTAAATATCTTGGTTTCTTCTTTTCTAAGGTTACATTGTTCTGTTGTCTTACATAATACACTAAAGTAAAACAATACCTTATTGAAATGTATTTTTTAGTTGCATTGCATTTGATATTGAGGTCATCCAAAAGGTTACATTTACTTGTATGTTGTGACTAGATTATCTTACTTTTATTTACATTTCTCTGTAATTTCTTCCAAACCCAAATGTAATTGTTAATAGATGGATATAATAAGTCTGTTTAATTGTTTCTGTTTTCATTAAGAGCAATACTCCTTTATACACACATTGTAATAGACTGTAAAGTCTCCCTGCTGTGAAATCAAATCCAGATCCGAAAGCTTGACAATAAAAGGAACACAATGCATATACCAATTAGTGGCTGCTTCTATCTTCATAGACTTCCTGCGATGTTACAACAGATGGACTCGCTCCTTGCTGTTAAATTGTTTTTGCCTGGATACAAAAAGGTGTTTCTTGCTTTATATAGGTCCACAGTAACAAACTGTTAACATGTATAAAATGGTATAGCAGTTGAAATAATGCTTACAAAAGTAAGACTGAATCAAGAAAAAAGAAAAAAGGATTTAATTTATACAGAAATTACCAACACGAATTGTGCATTTAAAGCATGAAACGCAATGCTGAAGCATCCAGAACAAATGAGCTTTCAACCAGGAACAGCTCTCATTTACAGTATCGAGCAGATCTTCCACACCTGAGTTCATTTTCTCTGAGTGATTAAAATGTCACAGCCAAGCCCGTAATGCATCCTGACTTAAGGTTTCACCGACAATTGGAAAAAAAAACCCTGTAAATTACCACGAAGAATTTAGCATAGACTCTGAGTGAGAAGCTGGTAATCAATCAGAGCACTTCACTCAAATGTCAGTTAATCAAGCTGTGTGTGTGTGTGTGTGTGTGTGTGTGTGTGTGTGTGTGTGTGTGTGTGTGTGTGTGTGTGTGTGTGTGTGTGTGTCCCAAAGCAAACGTGTTTATATTTAAGTGTATTTTAAAGTTTCTGCTACTGATACATGCAGGATGAGAGTCAGACACATCGGTGATTGCCCTCGGAGCAGTCCCATTGGTATTACAATCATGTAGATTTTCTAACTGCAAATAATCATTACCAAACAAGGACAGAGCAGCTTTTAGTGAAAGGACCCACTGCCATAAAGATCCTTAATTTTATCTTTTACTTTCAGATGCTGTGCAGTGCAGATAGTTTCTTGAGGGCATATTTGAAAGAAAAAAAACCTCCTGATGGTTGGTTCAGACTCCTGCCTCAGGGATCCCATGTTTCCCTTCTGGGTGGATTCCTGCTATCTCAGTAAGGAACAGATAGAGTGCCGCTGCCAGGTGTGTTTGAAAATGATTTAAAAAATAATAAATCTCTTTTAGTCACTTGCATATCACAAATGGCCAATAAAGGTTCATATACCACCATTTAATTAAGTTGTAGCAAAGCTGAAACATGATCATTTTGAGACAACCAGATCATTTAAATGATCCCAACTACATATTTATAGTTCAAATAAATGTTTGCAGACAGGTGCCCCCCACTGCTCCTTATTGACATCCTTTCAAGGCAGACGACTTGGTAGTTATTGATCAATTTTGCTCCCACTGACATGAAAGCATCCTTTACTGTACAAATAGCCCTGATTTCAATCAAATAAATAAAGACCAACATGCTTTGATCATTGGATTGTACTTTGTTCTTCTTGGCTGCAGTCACAGCTAGTTATATACAATCTTTTTAAATGGACAACCGACAACTGAGCTCGGATAAAAAGCTGTAGGTATCAGTTAAATGAGCTACATGGCGAGATCTGAATTAGATCTAGCACAGCAGAAGAACACACTCAATATATTTCTGTGTTTATTTCAAACTGTGTTATCAAATAATGAAGTAAAATTCAGTCATCACATAGTTGGAAAAATAAATGTTTTAGTGCAACTTCTCTTATAAGAAGATACTTAAAGGGGCCCTTGTATGCAAATGTTCAGGTACATATTTGTATTTTGTGTCTCTACTGTGACACACTTTAATGTTCAAAAAGTGCCTGTGCCTCTTTTCACCCTCTGTCTGAAACCAGAGACTAGTCTCTGAATTGTTAGCTGGCCGGCTCTGTTGTGATTGGTGAAACGTTTAGAGATGTCCCGCCTCTTAGCCTATCACGTAAAATGTGTTGAAGCGTCAGCCAATAGAATTAAGCGTGAGTGTTACTTAGTGATGTAGAAATACTTTGCTAAGACATACATACAGTATACTATATAGAAGGGTATAGATTCTTGCTGTACACCTGTATGTCTCAATGCCATGCTCTGCCACTTGTCTTGCATATGTGACTACACAATGCTGTTGTCAGTGATATATGAACCATGATGTATAAAGTAGAACTACATTGCTTTTTCAAATGGAATTATATCCATTGCTAAAAGTTGCTCAATTGGCGCATGTCAAAGCATTCCAGACTCTTTTAGAGTTTCCAAATGTTATTGAAAAGATTGGAACATATTCTGATAGTAAAAAAGGATCTAAATGTATGCACCATTTGACAGCTGCTCCTTTTCTAATATGCATTGGTAAAACGTGTTCTTATGTAGATAAGATACCAAGATCAAAATGTTTTTAATATCCAATGAAAACAGGAACCTAAGTGTGAAATACTGTAATGACTTGTGTAATTACTTTCCAGTCTGTCCTAACAATTTAAAGTCAAATGAATCCTTCTTTACATTTTGATGATAATTGATCCCAGTGGTCCCGCTGTCTTCCAAACTTATTCCAACACTCTTATTTTCATCGTGTCTGTATCGCTCCCGTCAATGCGTAATTTCAGCGTAACATGTCATTTACACGGCGCTTAGACTCACAGCTGTTCAAATAAATAAATCACTGTATAGCACATGATGCAACTTCCTTTGACAGACAGGCTTACTAAGTTTTAAATCTGCATCGGATCAAAAACAACTGGTGTCAGGGAAACATTTCAGTGTGAAATCGTCCAGTTTACTCATGTTAGGGTGTAACATTAATCAGCAGGCATCTGTATTCAGACTATTTTAAGCAAAAGCATCTACATACTGTCACCGTCTGTGTTCACATTGTCAGCCCAGTTGTTTTTTTTCATGTCCTCTCTGCTATACAATCTTCATCTCCGAAGATGATGAAAATGCATGGAATGGACAATCCTTATAATAAAGTCAGCTTCCATAACACAATGTTCTGCAGCTCCTGGAAAATGTCTGTATTTTTGAGCTGTTTGCTCGATAAGGTGCTGTTCTCATAAAAGATTAATAGTTGCCTGGTGGCCCAGAGGCACCCGAGCCAACAACTCAAGATTCATAAATAAAACTAAATGGATCAATATTTCCAAGACTTTCGAGGTAACCTATACCCTTACCTTGCAAGAGAAAGCTTTGAGAAAGGTTATGTTTTAATCAAAGCCTTCCACCAGAAATGTTAAAGAAAGTGTGGTATTTAATCATCAGGACGATGTGGTAGCTGAAATCCACAAACCAGTTGCTGTAAAATAGAGGAATTCTGGTACTATATCTCAGTTAAATAAAGAGTTTAATCATACTATTTTGTAATTATTGTCACCTCACTGTAGGCTTATTGTGCTGATGCTACAGCACAGTTCTTTTTCTGCTTGCACGAATACAGGGAGCAAAGCATGGAGGCTGAGGCATTTACTCTCTGAACAGCCAACATCAGATGCTCATTACTCAAATTGTATTGAACCGCAGTGACAAAGCAGAATGACATATTAGACTGGGGAAGGAAAACTCACATGACAAGAAGAAACATTGGCGGGTAGTTTGCACAGCCATTATCTTGGCAGCAAGATGATGATAATTATGATTTTGTTGTACAAGCTGTCTTGTAGCCAATGAATGCCCAACAAATCATTTGTTTTTATTTGGGATACAGTTATTTGAAATTCTGTGTATGCTGGAAGTTAGCTCTACAGTTTGCGATAAAAAGTCTATGATTTATTATAAGACTGTGTTTGTAATACTACAATTTCTACAGATTTTCTATTACTTGTTACAAAGAGTATATTGTCTTTCCAGTTGCAGAGGGTAACTTGGGACATTTGTTAATGTACTTGAGCACAGTTCTGAGGTACTTTACCCAAGTATTTTCCTGTCCCGTTGTTTTATACTTCTTCCGACTCCACTGCAATTAATTGGCGATCATTTACGGTGGCCGACAGGTGCACATGTGTTACGACCCAAAACACTCCCATTAGGAGAAACATGCTGCAATTTCAAAAACTATGCAAATGTAAAAACACGAATGTGCCAAAACATTCAAATGCAAATTAAGAAACATCTTCACCAACCTGGCAACCAATGTTCAGTGCATTTCTCAAATTCTCCTATAATGGAGAAATGCACTATGCGTTTGCACCAGTAGGCCACCGTAGGTGACTTTAACAGTTACTTTGCAAATGAAAATACAAAGTAACAATGATCTCCACCTTATTCATCAAACTGCAGATTGTATAACTAGTAACCATTACTTCCACAATACAAATAACATGGCAAACAAAGGAGTCTGCAGCATCACAAGAACTGTTACTTTTAATAGTTTTTACATTTGGCTGAAAATGTTTTTGCTTATAATTTTGCTTTAGTGACATTTGAATCCAGGACTTTTAAAAATATCCCCACATGATAATACTATGGTTGTTTTTAACTGAGTATTTGCAATATACATAGGGATGAATGACTTCTACTTGTCTTTATCAACTGTCATCCCTCCAGCAGAAAAGTAATGTTGAAATGCTCCTGGATAGGAAATAACATCTCCTGCTGACTCATCCATGTGTGTTTTACTCTTTTCTTCTCTCCCAAGGGGATTAATGCCACGAACGCTAGACAGCCAGATCACATTAGAGAAGACACCCAGCTACTTTGTCACCAGAGAGGCTCCGAGACGCATCTGCAGCATGTCCCACGAGACAAAGCTGATTGTTGTGGTGCGTAACCCAGTCACAAGAGCCATCTCCGACTACACACAGACTCTTTCCAAGAAGCCCGACATCCCTACGTTTGAGGAGCTGGCCTTTAAGAACAAAAGTGAGGGTCTCGTCGACTCTTCCTGGAACGCCATTCGGATTGGGATGTACATCCTGCACCTGGAGAACTGGCTGCAGTACTTTCGCCTGTCGCAGATGCACTTTGTGAGCGGGGAGCGGCTGATCACGGATCCAGCGGGGGAAATGGGCCGCGTTCAGGACTTCTTGGGGCTGAAACGAATAATCACGGACAAGCACTTTTACTTTAACCGAACCAAAGGCTTTCCCTGTCTGAAGAAGCCGGAGAGCAGCAGCCAGCCGCGCTGCCTGGGAAAATCCAAGGGCAGAACTCATGTACAGATCGAACGGGAGGTCATAGAGCAGCTGCAGGAGTTTTATAGGCCATTTAATATCAAATTCTTTGAAACCGTGGGGCAAGACTTCAAGTGGGATTGAGCGTTCCATACAGAAACAAGGCTGTGGGATTGAGGGTGCCATACAGAAACAAGGCTGTGGGATTGAGGGTGCCATACAGAAACAAGGCTTTTTTTAAATGGCCTCTGAAAATAAATATAAATGAGGGTATCTTCATACAAATGTTTAAATGAAAAGTTTATTGAGATATGTATTCATTCACTAAATCAACATAGAAGAATATATCAATCATAAGAGTTTTAGGTTGGGTCATTATGATAACAAGTGCTATTTCATAAAGAAGATAAATATCTATATACAAAAAATATGTTTCTTTCTTCTTTCACAAGGACATTGCTTAAATATTCATTCTGATCAAAATGAACCATCGGCTTTAATGTTAAATTGACTTCCTAACAGGAATTTGCAGCCAAATGTCAAATGATTATTCAAATCTGCCTGTCAATTATTCTGCAGTGAAGTTTATCTCTGTATTGTTGACAAAAGTTCATAGGCAACAATGACACATTTACTGAATAAATGTACTGTAAAAAAAAACGTCTTGAATATTAAAACATATGCTATAACGACGATAAAGGTTTATTAAACGTCAGCTCTTTCTGTGTCAGTATTTTTGTTGTGATCATCGAAATAAAATGCAGAAGTCTAAAATCAAGTACTATTTGAGATATTTTCTTGCCTACACATGGATAGAAGTTAGTAGTAGCGTTTTATTCTGATTGTGTAGTCATAGTCCATGTAACAATAGTGTATGTGGTGATCAGATCTAAGATAACAAGTGCAGCACACACATTTAGATGGTTTTGTTACACACATATCAAAGCTAATGCTCCTCAGGCAGCTATTTCCTACCTTGATAAAATATAAAAGTGATCTATATCAAAGCTGTGAAGCCGAGTTAACACAGGACTGTATTACAAACACACTTTATGTGTTTATGTTGTGACATCCACCACATTTTTTAGAACATATCAGTAGAGAAGTTTTTACTGAGCCTGTTGAAAGATAAAATGTTCCTTACCAGCTGCTGATATGCGTGTCACTGATCTCATTAACTTCCAGGATTTCCTCTTTTGATGGATTTGATCGTGCTCTTTCTAAATGTATCTCCATGCTTAGCAGCTAGATTAACCTCCTGAATTTGCACCCCGAAACCAATCACAGTTGTCATTAATAATTTACACAAGACCTCAACAATTCTCCTCTGAAAAGGGGAGGAAAAGTGCTCCAGTCAGTGCAAAATTAATAGAAATACATTGAATAAATACTAAATAATTATTTGTAAATGTATGCTGGATCTGTTTGACGTGATGTTTGGCAGCGAATGCACAGTGGAGTTGTTTTTCTACAGACTACAGATGTCTGATTAGCACAGGCTTAAGAACACTGACGACCTCTGCAATTATTTTAAATGAAGTCTCCAGGTTATACTTCCCATGTGAAAACAGCTTTAGATTTAACTTTGAGCTGACCTTCCAACCCTGCTGAAACTGCAAGGGCTGGCAAGTTGCTTTTAAGTTTAACAATCAATTAATGAGCCTAATTGGTCAGAGAAGTTGCATTCTCCTTATATCAAGTGTATTTGTTTGAAGCAAGAAAATTGCAGATCTTCGCTTTTTTTAAATAGTCTAAATCTGGGCATTATTTACAAAAATAATGCATAGAATTGGGAAAATTTTTAATAACTGTTTGCTTCATATGGTTTCCAAAACAGCCAAGTTAAGCTGCTATTGTAATGATGAAACAGTATTCTACGGAGGCCGCATCAAAACCACCCAAAACATTTCCAAACTAAACAGCTTGAGTTCAATTTTTTCAACTCGAGCGTCAAATTTGCGTGACGTGTTCTCACTGTAGCCAATCAGCGGTGAGGATCTCAGCCTGTCGTCACTGACGTTGAACCAGAAAACCAAAACATCAGCCGTTAGCTGTTAGCACTCAGAGCTCACAGCTCCTCATATATGTTCAGAAACTAGACAAAAGTTAAACAAGTACAAACCACAGACTGTCTGTGTCATGGCAAATACAGTCGCTGGTTTATTTATGTCTGTATTACGTTGTTGTGATTGTGGATGGAGCATATACAACGTTAGCTTAGCCTGATCGATCCGATCTCCATTCAGAAAACACGCATTTTAAAAGGTTTTTCGCCTGCCGTCTGTCTGCAGACTTGTCAAAGCATTAATTCATGTTTTTTACTAACCGGTATCAGTATGTTGTTACTTCGGCATCATTTTGAAACGTGTATTACAATTAAATCACGGTAAAATATGTTCATTTTGTTGTAGTTGTAGCCCCCAAGCCAGCGTGTCTTGTTTGAATGATGCGAGTAAACACAGCTGACAGCCGAGGTGAAACTCGAGCGTTTAGAGCGATGCGATAAGAGTGATTAGAGCGAAGCGAATATTCGCATCGCGTCAGGTGTGAACGCAGCATAAAAAGTGATGCACAGAGCTGGGACCGGAGCGCTTGTTGACGTCCGGGGATTATCAAGTAGACAGACTGTCACTGGAAAAGTACCTAAAATATACGTTTTATTTGCTTATTTAAAATGTAATCACATGATTATTTCCGATATTATTGTAGATCTGCTGTAAGCGAGCTAGCTAACGTAATTAACCTAGTCATTTCAAATGTACTGACATAACACTTACAGTTGGCCAACATTATAATCCCCGGATGTCAACAAGCGCTCTGATCCCAGCTGTGTGCATCACTTTTTAGTGTCCCCGTTTCCGTTTCCCCTTGTTTTGAGCTTCTTTCTGCTTCTTCTGCATTTTTTTAATTGCAGCATTTTGTGTTTGCAGCGTTTTGTTTAGTAAGCGCTGCACATGTTTCTTTAAGTTGCTAAATATATTTTTTAAATGCTGCACATGTGTTGTGAAGTTGGTGAAGATCTTTCCTAATTTGCATGTGTTTTGGCACGTGTTTTTATTTTTGGATTGATTCTGGAGCAGCAGCGCGTTTCTCCTAATGGAAGTGTTTTGGGCCGTTCATTATTTAAGGTATGAAAAAATGGTGTGACTCCTTCTCTAGGTGTCTTACTTTCATTGTGTAATTCCCCGCTGCAGGGCTGTGAATTGAGCAGCCATATCTGGTCTCACTTAGACTAATGTGACAATGTGACCTTCCTTATTAAGAATATTAGATATTCCCTTGCATTCCAACTGTTCTCTTCCTCTACATTACATTACATTAGCCATCAGCAGTATTTAAACTGTCCTTTGTGATTTTCTCCATACATTTTTGATGAACCTGCCAATGCGTTCTGCAGCTGCCTGCTACTTAGTGAGCCAATAGCAGACTCCGCATTTTAGCAATAAGCTCAACTTTATCTCAGCTCAGATAATTATAACTTATCCCAAAGAATGCTCTGGGCTTGATGGCATGGCACTGAAAAAAGAAACTCCCACATGGCTGCTACCTTATGATACCCAATAAACACTTTGATGTGTTATCAGTCCTGCATATGGAATATAAGGTGAACCTTTTGGGGAATATTCATGGATGCAAGACATGTTGCAGAGAGGAAATTGGTAAAGGTCTGCAAATATTTTCCCCGAAATGCTTGTGCTCATTCATTTTTTATGCTTTCTTGCAGCATTCAATGTATCCTACACAGGCAAGGACACACACAGTCTTGGCAATGAATACGCATTGACTATAATGTATTAACTCCTCATTATGAAAGGACAAAAGTTTGCTCCAGGTAACTAAAAGCTGTCTGACCATTCTAACCTTCAAAGTAAATACCAAAGATGCTGTTGGAAATGTCATGAACTTTGCAAGACTCTGAGGTAAAATACATCTCTGCCACTCATCAGAAACAACACACAATAAAATCCATTACCTTGTGGAACACTTCTTTTCTCTCCTATTAAATGACAAGAAATAATGAGGCTCCATTAATATATGTGTTTTCCTCTCAAGAACTCTAAAGCTTTCTTTTATAACTCCTGCCTTGAAAACCAATTGAGATTCTACTGAGGCTCCAACCCTGAAACTTCATACACTTTACAAGTTTGTGTCGGTAATCTCTATATTGTGGAGACGACATCTAATATAAAAACTGCTGTGAATGTCCCAGAAAGCACAGAAACTATGGGCTGGTTCAAAATTGCAGCATAAAAATATTTCCACTACAGCACAGGCTGAGAATATCTTACAATATTTATCGGCTTCTTGTACATAATGTACCAAGTTTGCTGCTTCTTGTCTATTGATGTCAGCTGAATTTCCAGATGTAATTCAAGCTGGAATGTTCACTTTCTCTAAGAAGACTTCTTCCTTTTGGAGGAGAGTAAAAAGTATTTATATGGATATATCTCCTTGGCCCCTGCAATGAGCCAAAGCTATGGACAATAATGAGGATGTTCCTTTTCTCCAATGGACAATGAGAAGAGTCAACTTCCCTTTAGATGATTTGAAACTTGGCAGCCAGAAACCCCTCCAAAGAAAATCTCATTAAGCTAACCTCTAACTGCATCAATGCACCTTTAGAATATGTCATTATTCCCCAAGGTATTCCATGGAACATGTTCTATCTCCGAGTATCATACTTCAAGCTGTTCCTCTAAATTAAAAGATATACCCAAAAAATTGGATTGACTTCCTCTGCAGGTGCATGTATTTTCTCAGGATGTGGAACACTGTGTCATGCTTCATGTAATACAACTGACGGGTTCAATGTACCACTAAAAGATTGACTTAAAGGAGCCATGCATTCTCTGCAAACCAAAGCCACACATGTAAGACTATCGGTATATCGAAATATGAAAACCTTTCTCCTCTGCTCGTTTCCTGCGGTCTGATGAACATGCGCTGCTTGCCTTACCCTCAGAAAGGTCAAGTGCAGAGCGGGTCTCCAGGCACACTCTCAACTAATTAAGCAGTAGCAGTGTACATGCGTACGAGCTACTGGGAGAGCGCAGCAGTCGGTTGCCACCCTCCGGGATAATGAACATATTGTTTCACATGCAAAATACAAAAAGGGCTCCACGCAATGGCAGGAAAGAAAGCAGAGGCCAAATTAAAACTGTACTAATGTGTGTAGTATTCCTGTTTGCAAACAAATCACAATAGTGTTATTGAGAGTAGTATAATTGAGCTTTTCTGCAAGTTGATTCTGTAAGCATGGACAGGAAATGAGGCTAGTGAATGGAAATGCAAAATGTTGGATATGTAGAGGTCTAAATGTTTTGTAAT